CATGAGGTGAGGAACCTCAAGGGCAGGTTCATGAGTCCCTCAGGGAAAAGAACTTTGCGTAGACCCCATTTCTTTTCTGACTTCCCTCTCAACTGTGGCTGTGCCTAGGGATCCCAGCCCCCCACATTATGCTAAATAGGTAATCAAACATCTCGCTTTGCTAATTACTGCTCAATCCGATTAAACGCTGCTGAAGCTCATCAACAGAGGTGGAGGTAGGGGGAAGAGATGAAGGGGGGCAGCCACAGCTGTGATGGGGGTCTTGTGCCCAGGGGATACTGGGGACAGCTGAGAAACAATCAGGGTAGCAAGACAGCACATCCCAAAGGAAAGGGATAGAACAGTTGTACTCTCAATTCCCTTAACCTTATATATCCTTCCAGCCACAGGCTGCCTGGAACCTTCATAACCCTCAGAACTCAGGCATCTGGCCATTCCCACAGCTCCCTCACAGTCCCCTGTCCCACATTTAATAAGTTCTGTTCTCTCACTGTCAATATTTGATTTCTCAGAGCCATCTCCACGGAGAGGGGATTGGGAGAAGTCTTCCCTTCTTCCCCCCTACCTTGGCCTTCTCTGGCCCATCCCCAGTCTCTTTGTGCCCCCAACCTTCTCTAAACTTACTGACTTAATGAAATGATATTAAAGTCTTAAGCAACTCCAAAAAGAATGGTTGTTATGGAAGAGAGTGGGCAGGGCGCCTGGGTCCCTGAGGGGAGCAAGGGCTGAGAAGAGGGAGAGGGAGCCATAGGCTAAAATCTAGAGGATCAATGGGGAGCATCAGATTTGGGGTCAGCTGGGGTGCCAGACTTCCAGACCTTGGCAGGAAGCAGGACATGAGGGCTGGGGGCTAGGAGAAGGTGGGAAGAGAGGACATTCAAAGGGTCAGGGTCTCCATCCAGAGCATCCATCAGGATGGAGAGGCCAGGCAGTGGGTGGGGACAGGGCCTCCGTGCCAACAGCCTCCCTGCTAACTGTGCTCTGGGCTGGTCCCGTGAGAACTAAAGTGGATTCCTCTGCAACCCTGACTCATCCCTCTTTTCCCTTTCTCTCCCAGCAGCCCCCCACAGGTGATTTGTAGCTGATGCCCCCAGGATGGCAGGGGCCAGGACTGTCATTCCATGACATGAAGAACTAAGAGCTTCCAGAAAGAAGAGAACAGAGGCCAAGGGATGGAAAGCCAAGCACCACCCCTACCGTCCCCCCCATCCCATCTCACTCCCCTGGGGACCCTGGCCCAGCCCCAGTCCCCTTGGGGTGGTGGGAATGCAAGGACATTTGGCTGGGGCTGATTGATGAGGGAGGAGGCAGCCACTGGGCACTGAGGCTGCTGTTTGCTGAGCACACAGATTCCTCCCCACTCACCAGCTGCCGCCCCCTGAGGCTGCTCAGTTCCCTACCACCACCAGCCACTGGGTTTGCGGGGAGCTGATGCCTGAGTTTCTGATGGCAACAGGGGGTAAGAGGGAGAACCTGGAAACCAACAGCTACTTTAATTCCCTGTGATAATCCGAAGTACCTGGAACTGGTCCCTTCCAAAATCCCTCCAGGACTCTGCCTTTCCTGCCACCTTCCAAACATCACTCTCCATGCCCAGTTGTTATTGCCATTCATTTTGAATCCTTTTTTCTTGTCCCCACCCAATTATCTGAGCCCATGCCAGCCAGCCCCCTGCCTCCAAACCACCATGCAATACTTCTCCTGGCCTGCCTACAGACCTCAAAAATCTCTCCAATAAGAGGGATCCCTATGTCCATGGTTGTCTACATAGCCCTGTAGGAAGCTCTCTATATATTTTTTTTCATTCTAAACTAAAATTCCAGATGTGATATCAACCATTCCCCATCAAAAAGTTCCAATGTGCCGACAGGTTAGCACACGTCTATAATTCCAATGGCTCAGGAGAGGCAGGAATATAGCAAGTTTAAAGTCAGCCTCAGCAACTTAGCGAGACCCTTAACAACTTAGCAGTACCTTGTCTCAAAATTTAAAAATTTTAAAAAAGGGTCGGGGATGTGGCTCATTGGTTAAGCACCCCTGGATTCAGTCCCTGGTACCAAAAAAAAAAAGAAGTCCCACTGCAAGATGGGCACAGGCCTATAACCCCAGCAGCTCAGGAGGCTGAGGCAAGAGGATTCAAGTTCAAGGCCACTTGGGTAACTTACAAGACTCTGTTTCAAAATTTAAAAATAAAAAGGAGCTAGGAATGTACTTCAGTTTTAGCCCTTAGGTTCAATCCCCAGTATAACAAAAACAACACACACATACACACACCCCAAAAACATTGCAATCCCTGGCCACGTATCTCTTTTTTTAACACCCCTCACCCCACGTGGAATTTGTATCTCTTGGCAGCTTCTGTTTGGAAAGATGGCAAAATCTGCACTCTGTCTTTAGCTCAGCCCTCAGGACAACCTTGATCCTCTGCTGTTTGGGACCATTTTAGCTTCATGGTCCTCAGCCCTCTTGGTCCCTTTGCTTCCACTCTGCCTGTCTCCTTGGATTCTGTGCTTTAGACTTTGTGTCCTAGCCCCTGAAAACTTATCATCCTTGCCCTCCCAGATCTCATAACATACTTGAAGAAAACGCAACTAATTCAAACAAAAGGAGCAGAAAGGAGACGGAGTTGGATCAGCTCACTAAATGTAGGTTCTAGACCCTAAGTGACTTGCTCCCCTATAGGCTGAGGCTAGGGAAGAACAGGACATATCTGGACCATATATATGTATGGTGTGATGTCCTCCTTGCTATTCCCAGACACACCAAGATTTCACCTCTGTGCCTTTGCACTTGCTGTCCCCTCCGTCTGGCATGCTCTTCCTCATATAGTGCCTGACTTACTCCTTCTCATTATTCCAGGTCCTCAATATTCCAGTTCCTGGTTATTTCAGAGGGGTCTTTCTGACCTCCTAACCTGAAGAATTTCCCTTTTACTCTCCATCCTGTCACTCTGCTTTCACTACCTGAAATTGCATTATACTGTTCCCCTTCAAAAACAATGCAGCCAGATTCAAGCCTGTAATTCCAGCAACTTGGGAAGATGAGCCAGGAGGACCAAAAGTTCAAGGCCAACCTCAGCAACTCAGTGAGACCCTGTCTCAAAATAAAAAAAGAAAAGGATTGGGGATTGTAATTCAGTAGCGAAGTGCCCCTGGGTTTAATCCCCATTAAAAAAAAAAAAAAAAAAACACCTGTGGACTTCAGAGATGGGATGTAGCTTGGTGTTAGAGTACTTGGCTAGCATGTGGGAGGACCTGGGTTTAAATCCCAGTACCCTCCGGGGGGGGGAGGGGGCATGAAAATATAAAACAAAACAATGTGGTATCATGAAAGCAGGGACTTTGTCTTATTCGCCACATATTCCCAGCACCTGAAATAGTACCTGGAACAAAGTAGATGTGACGTTGAGTGACTGAGTGGACAAACAAATGAATGTCTTCCAGCCCCTCTATTCTTTCTTGTTGTAGTTGTTATCCTACGAGGGTATTTATTTACTTGCACCCAAAAAGCCAACAGGATGTCATGTGTCATTCTGTGTGGAACACAGACAGCATTTTCAAAAAGCTCAAAAGATTCACAAGTCACTGCACACAGGAAAGGCTGTAGGTGTCGTGTTTATAATGTCAGGTGGTTGGCAGGGAGTCTATGGATGCCAGTGCTCTGAGGGGGTGTGTCCCAGGGCACTGTGGGTATGTGCTGTTCCTCTCCCCAGCTGTGCATCTGTCCCCAGGTGTCTTCCTGTCTCTCAGCCTGTTATGATGTCTTGGCTGCTTTGGTGAGGTGTTTGTCACAGAGACTATTTGTCCCCACTTCTCTTCCCTCTTGTCTCTCCACCTGTACCTCTAGATGTATGTGTCAGGGAGACTCTCCCTCAGCTCCCTTGCCCCCTCACACACACAGCCCTGCCCCAGTCTTGGACCCCTCCCTTTCGCAGTGGGCCCTGTTGCTGGGCTCTGGGTTGCCATAGTGACGGTTGCCAAGTCCCTGAGGCTGATAGCCAGCGATGGGGCTGTCGGCTCCATCCACGTGGGAGGCTGAGGGGGGCTTCCCATTGTGTGGAGAAGGGGATGTTGCCAAGACAACCAACCCCCACTAAGGGCCAGGGACCAGCCCTTCCACCCCCCTCGAGCCTCCCCACCTCGGGCTACTCCAGTGTGGGCTCAGAAGGCAGGAGTAAATTCCAGACAGCCCAGCACCTGGCCTCCCAATTTTCAACACCCCTCCTGCAGTGCCTGCACCTCTTAGGACCCAGACCTCTTGCTGAGACAAGGGGAAGGGTCCCAATGGACAGAGGAGGAGAAGGGGGACCCCTTGACCTCCAGGCAGATGGGAGACAGCAGGAGGGGACCTAAAGTCAGGGGCGGGGTGGGGAGGGCAGAGGTTGTGACCCCTGCTGACTCGCTCCAGTGATGCTCCTGACGGCTGCTTTTGTGGTTGAAGAATAGGACTGAGTCTGGGGGGCTGGGCACCTGGGCTTTTGGGGGGAGAAAAGCCTGGGCTATGGGTACACAAGCAGCCAGGAGATAGGCACTTGACACCTGACTCCTTCCTACTTTCTTCATGCCTCCCCATGTGAGTCCCCAACAGCCAAACTCTGAGTTAGAGGTCCTCCAAGTAGGGGCAAGAGGGAATACTTTAACACATGACACATTTCCATCACTTCACTACTAATTGCAACTTCCTAGCCACCCAGGTGCTTTGATTTAGTGATAGACACTGGCAGTTGCCATGTATGACTATATATTCACATACTTCCTCATTTGACTATACTGGCAAGCCCCCTCCCACTTGGGTTCTCCCTGGGTGGGAGGTGATTAGAGGTGATTGCCTTCCCCAGACTTCTCTCCAAGCCCAGCATTCCCTCCCCATGCACTGTACCACCTATCTCACCACTCCAACCAACCTTCTCTCTGCCCATTCCCCTTGGTTTCCTGTGATCCAACCCTCAGCTCCAAAGCCATCACCAGACTCACATCCAGTCATTCTCCAGTCTTTCTTGTCAACTTTTGAAGTTTTTTATTCTTTTTTTGGTTTTTGTTGTTCAAATTTCCCTTTTACAGTAAAACTATTGAGGTGACGGCTGTACCCCGCCACCTCCCCCATGGCAATATCAACTTCCTGTTCCCTGGAAGGAGCTGGGAACTACAGCACCAGAGAGATTGATCTGGTCTCTGGTGAACAAAGCAACCATCTTGGCTGGTGATTGAGGTGGCCAACTTGGTGCCCAAGGGCAGCTTTGATCTAATAAAACTGAGCTGGGAGGAAACTGAGGCAACAGCCAATTGAGCACTAGAAGGCAGGAAGAGGTATAGACTGGTCACTATGGAAACAGCAGCTGTTGCTAAGTACCACTGTCAACTAGACCAGTCTAGGTAGGCCACCATTTTGGTCACTAAGAAGGGAGCTGTGTTGAGAGGATGGGATGAACAAGACAGCCATCTGGTTACTGGGGGAGAACACATGGGCTCTTGGGGCAGTCCTGTGATTAACAGAGATTATATTGGGATATGGAAAGGGAAGAACAAGACAAATTAGGCCTGCCACAGCAGATGGCAGTCATCTTAGCTGTCCTAAAATCACACAGAGCACAAGGGAAGGGAGATCCTGGGAAGTGCCACTGAATACTAGGAAAGTCCTCCTCAGTCCACCTCTGTCCCCTTATAGTCAGTAAGTTCCAGCTTCCTCCTGAAACAGGAAGTTCCTCCTGCCCCTTTCTCCACAGGGTAAGAACCATCCACCTCCCACCCCCCAATCCCCCAGACTAAGCCACTTGGAGTTCCAGCCAGACCACTTCCTATTTCAGAAGTGCTACTTCCTGTCCTGGATGAAGGCACTTCCAGTTCCTGCTGCACTGCTTCTGCCACTTCCCAGGCCATTTCTGTCCAGGCCTGGTCACTTCTTGACTGGAGCAAGTCACTTCCTGTCCCAAGTGGCCCATTCAGCATCAGACCATGTCCACAATGTCCCAACAGGTTCATATCTTGCTATCAGCCACTGGACAAAACGGGACACTTCTTCTCATGGTAGCTGTCGTGACCCAACCACCCCAAATGGCTGGAGTAAGTATGTAGAGGCCTGGGGCAGGGCAGAGAAGGAGGCCCTGCTGCCCATGCCCTGATCTGGGGTGGAGTGCCAGAGCCTTCCCCGTAAGGCCCCCATTTTTGGCAGACTGAGAGGAGCGGTTGTATGAGAGGTCAGGAGGGAGGCCAAGAGCTAAGGGGAAAAATGCTTTGACACCCCCACCCAGGAGTTGGGAGAGGCACAAGATAAGAAGCCAAGAGGGTAAAGGGAGATGTAAGGAGGAGGATGCTAGGGAAGAAGAACAGAACAGACCTAGAGACAGGAGAAAGAGAAAGAATAAAAGATAAGAGAGAAGAGAAAAACTGTGAGAGGCAGAAAGAAAGAGGTGCCAACCAAAAGACAGACCGTCCCGCCCCTACTCTGGGTGGATGAGGGAGACAAGAACACCTGGGTCGTGGTCAGAGAGGAGGCTGAGCCTGTGTCCCCTCCCCCAGGGATTCAGAGACAGAGGGATGCCCATGGCTAAGCCAAAGGGCAGGAGGGGGGGAAGTGGAAGTCTTAAGGGATCCTAAAAGTGGACACAAGGGCAATAGCCAGGAGGAGCTAAGGAGCTGGCAGGGCAAAGGGGGCCAAGGAGATGCCAGAGGTGTCCCTCAAACCATGAATTAAACTGAAGGAGCACCCCCAAAAAAGGGCTGGATTCAGGAGAGCCAGGTAGGAGGAGCCCTCATACCTTGTAGTAGATGTTTGGAGGGCTCTGGGGGGGCCCATCCTGCACGATGTACACAGGATGCCCATAGTCGCCACTCACCTTCTCATAGTGGGGACAAAAGGGGGGATCTGCAGCCCCACCGCCCCGCAGAGCTATCCCTAGCTCCCCAGGCTCAGCCTCCCGAGGTCCCATTCCACCTCCCGCCCCCAGGCCCAGAGACCCTCCCCTCCCAAAGGAGCCGGGACCAGGGTGGCGACTCTCCGAAGGCTTGGCCCGCCGTCTCCGCCAACACATGGCACCCCCAGCCCCTGCCACGCCCAGCAAGAGCAGCGCCAGCCCCCCTGCTGCCCCAGCCACTGCGGGCATGCTGGGAGGGGGCAGGGGGCCTTCAGCACCCCGGGAGGTTGCATTGCTGGTGGGGTCACCTGGCAGGGAAGGGGTGAAGGAGGAAAGAGGGGGAGGGGCTGAAGGAGCAACCTGGACATCTGGACACCCAGCCCTGGGGGTCCCCATGGGCTTCCCCAGTAGTGTCCAGGACCCCTGGGAACCCTAACTCCCCTCCCCCCACACCCCACTCAGAATCCAGGTGTCCAGCCCTGCAGCTTCCTGCCACGTAGTCCTCCCCAGTTCTCTGACAGCACTGATTGAAGCACTGACTTGGCTAATTAGTTCTAATTGAGTCTTTTCCTCATTTGGCTTCCATTGCCCTCCTACCCTCCCATCTTCTCTTCTCTTTCCTGTATCACCACCCCCAAAAAGGGAGAGGGAAAGAGAGGGCAAGGGTAGGGGAATGGGGGTCTGAGAGCAGAGAGAGCAGGGGCCGGTTCTCTGGTTCCTACCTGGCATGCTTTCCTTCCCAGGCTCCAGGCTGTGGGCTGCCCCTCGGTCTCTATCCATGGGCATTTCAGACACAGGTTTTCGGGGAACAGCCCCTCCTCGGGGACCTGGAGATAAGGAAGACCTGAGAGAGGGGGTGCTGAGACAACAGCCCCTGACCATGATGGTACTGCCTGGACCTCCCCAGATTGTAGAAGGTATCCCACAGCCACACTCACTTTGTCCCACTCGGAGAAGCACCTTCATGCCTCTGGTTAGGCACACACCTCCCTGTAAACTCTCCAGGCCTTCCCGGGTCCCATCTGATGTGGCTGGGAGAAAAGAACAGAGGGAGAGGTTGACATTCTAGGATCTAACCCTTCTAATTCTGTTCCCATGCCCTGGGAGGACGGCACAGGGGTTCTCCCTCTTGATTCCCATGGTCCCCTTCCCTCACTAGTCCTCCATCCCAGGGACAACCCCCCATTTGACCCTGCCCTCTGCCCAGCAGTACCAATTATGTAGTAATCATGGTGCGAGCGAAACTCATGGCCCCAGAGGTTAGGGCTGTATTCCTGGAACTTGATGGTGAAGCGGAGATCCAGATCTGGCCGGTCGCAAGTGAGAAGAAGGTTTGGGGCAGGGGGTGCCTCGCAGCGACGACCCTGGGCACCCCCTACCAGGTACAGCTTGTAGTACTCATAATTAGGAGAGGAGTGGGGGCCAGGAGGTCGGGCCCGGGGGCAGAGCAGGTCTAGCCGGTCCCCAATCTGAGGGTAGAGCACATAACCACCCTCTGCCTGGAACCTATGGGGAGGAGGGCAAGGTGGGCAAGGATGAGATGTCAGGGGTGTGGCCCCAAAGCTTTCCCTCCCTCACCCACAACCTCCAGGACAGCAGTGCTTAGCTCCTGCCTGCCTGCCTTTGTCTGAGCAGAAAGTCTGTTCTTTGAGCACAGGCACCAAGGACTCTGCGAGCTCACATCAGAAGCAGCAGGAAGCCAGGCTCAGAGGTCTCCTGCCCCTTGGTGTGCCCAAATGCACTCTTCAGCCCGCCCTCACCACATGCACACTGCCATCTCCCGCTCCATCACCGGCGCCGTTGCCATGGCAACAGGATGCCAGTTACCAAGGAGCTGGCCTCTCTGGAACCACACAGCCCACCCCTCCCAGGTGATTTCACTATTCCATGGCAGTCAACCATGGGGGCAGAGCCTCCCATTCTCCAGGCCACCACCAAATCTCAGGGCAAAGGAGGCAAGGTGGGGGTGGGGAAAGGGGTGTGGAAGGTAATCCAGATCAGTGTCTCAAGTTAGCCAGTTATGGGGAAGGAGACAAATATCTGGTTTGGCAATGGTCCTAAGCGGGGATAATGGGAATGAGGGTGTGGAGTCCAGCTGCTCAGGTCATTCCCTTGCTCAGTTCGCCCATGCTGGGGCTCAGACTTCCTGGGGAAAATGTTCTATCACTTTGGAGTTGAAGTAGTTGACTTTTCTAACCACAACTAACCCTGTATCTCTAGGGCCAGTGGGCTGGGGAACCCACCAGCCTACCACAACCATAAACTGCATTTCCCTGCACCTCCTTGCACCTTCACAGCTGATACAGGGTCTCAGGTCTAGGTCCCAGGGGACTACTTGCTGCCTCGTATTTTCCCAGACTCCCAAATGACCCACGCCCTCCCACCCACTATTCCAAAGAGCCCCCAAGACATACTGCCTTTTCTCAACTCCTTCAGATAAAGCCACACTAGATACTCAAACTGCAGCCCTAAGTTGGAGAGTGGGGCAGCTTGAAGACAGAAAAGACACTGAAATTATCCCCAAAGAGATATGGGAAGAAAGGAGGGATACCAGGACCCAGAAGTGAGAGGAAGGCTAGGAAGAAAAGAGAAGAACAATAATCCTAGCCCTACTTTCATGAGCATATACTATGTTCAAACACCTTACCTCTAACCCTCATAACAGCTGTAAGAATTGAGGATACAAACTCAGAAAGGTTAAGTGACATGCCCAAGGCCACACAGTTGAAAGCGGCAGAGCTAGGATTAAGACCAAGAATTTGATAAGCTCCAAAGCCCACCACCCTCCCATGGCCTCCCACAGCCTCTCCAGGGAAGTAATTTTCAAAAACAGAATCCTTTTGCTAGTGGGAAGGGGAACTGCACTGGAGACAAGGGACCAGATGACCTCCCCAAGTCCTACCCTGTGTGACTTGAAGTTTCATCTGACCCCTGGCCTCTTTTCAGAGCAAAGCAAGCATGGAACAGAGGCCCTGATGGAAGAGTTTGCAGCACGGACAGGGGGAGGGGGCAACGGAGTCCTCAGGACTACAGAGGCAAGAAGGAAAGAAGAAGGCTTGAGGAGGCTCAAGGCTTTCTCCAGAAAAAAGTCCCCAAGACAGGAAGGCAGGAATACAGTCCTGGCTGGGAAACTGTTCTGCCAGGGTTCACCAAACCTCTCTCCCTGGCTGTGGGCAAGAGTTGGGAGACAAGACTATCAAGTCAAGAAGTCTTGGAAAAGCTGTTCCCAGAGCCCCCAAACTAAGCCCCCTTCCCTTCCATTTCCAACCCTGAGCCTCTTCTGGGAGGGAGCCACCCCTGCCTTCCCCTCAGTTCCTGAGCAGCCCCTACTCAGCGGCTCTCTCCTGAGAACTGACATTAACCAGGCTCCCTCCAAGCCCGCCCAATGTAGGTCTCCCACAGATTCAAATAACCACTCCACTGCCCTCCCGCTGCCCACAAACTTTTTAATCTTTGCCCCCTTTGAGGTTTCCAAACTCCTGACACATGGTCATCACCACCCACCTCCAGCTCTGTGTGGGACCCAGGAATCTGGCTCCCGAGATCACAGCTGTCTGGTAACCCATCACCTCAGATCGGGGGTCCAGCACCTTCCCTACAGCCTCCTCCCCGCTTAGGGAACCCAGGTCCCCAGTCCCCAAAGATTCCATACCCCCTGTCCATAGGGTCTGGGGTCTCCCCAGCCCAGGCCGCTCACCTCTTGTTCGCCGAGTTCCAGTAGACGGGCTCCAGGCTGAGCCCGGACACCAGCCCCAAAAAACCCAGCAGCAGCAGGGCCCCGACTCGCACGCCCCCCGGCCCAGAATGGGGGGCCCCCATGACCCCGCCAAGGCCTGGGGGGCGGGGCACCAACTCCCCCAAAGTCGCTCACCCCCAGGGGTGACTGCCTTGGCTGCCTGGCTGTTGAGCGAGGATCACCCTGGTGAGTGGCTGATGCCCCCAGCGCCCTCGCGGACCCGCTTCCTGCTCTGCCCGCACCCCGGTTCCAGAGCGCTCAGCCCCACAAGAGCTCTTCCAGGGGCCGTCTGCCGGCGCCCTACGCTCCCCGGCCCACGCGCCAGCACCCCGGGAATTGTGTGCCGCCCTAAGTGGGGGACTGGGGGACCCGGGGGCCGGGAGGGGGCGGCATGGGGCGCCGGGCGAAGGAGCGAGGAAGGGGACGCCGAGCCGGAGCCCCAGCCTCGCCGGGATTGAGGGCAGCGGGCTAAGGGAGGAAACCAGTCCCGAGCCCAGGAGGGGGGAGTTAAAGGAGAGGCGGGGAGGGGGAGAGGATGGTGGAGGGAAAAACCGGAGCTGGAGCTCAGGCGGAGCGGGCGCCAGCATCCCGCGGCCCACGCCCCCCACACCTCCCTCACCTCGCGCACCTCCCGCCCGCCCGCCGCGGCCGCCTCGCCCGCCGCCCCGCCTCGCTGCCTAGCGCGGTCTCTCACACCCCCTTTGTCTCTCTGTCTCCGTCTCTGAGTTGCTGCGCGTCTCCCCTTGCTGCCCTCCGATCACCGGAGCGGTTGGAATCTTCCTTTCTCGGATCCAGAAAGACTCTCGCCCTCTCCATCCCGAGGAACCCACCCCTTTTACTCCCGCAGCCTCCTCCTCTTCCATCCCAAAACAACACCGATTTTTCCGGGGAGGCCTGGAGAGAATAATAATAATAACAACCTTCATGGCTAGACACTTCACAAAGTGTGGCTGAGTTGATCGTCACGACTACCTGTGTGAAGTGGGAGGGGCCGAGCTACCGATCCCATTGTAGTGATGAAGAAACCGAGGTTCTGGAAAGGACCCCATGACTTGCCCAAGGTCATATAGGGAATCTGGAATAAAGCCACTAACCAAACCGATGCTGAGCTCCCCCGTTGTTCCTGGGATTCTTTTGTCACAGCTTCCAGGATCCTTTACTGTTATCTGGGTCTCCAGGTGAAAGACAAGAAATGAGGGAGTAAACTTGGGCCCTTGTTAGGTGGTTGTGGGGAGAAGTGAGGTGGGTGGGAGGCAGGGAAGGGGTACCTAAATTCCCAAACCCGCACTGCTTTGGAAGGGCTGTTTCCAATTATCCTGGGGGAAGGGAGGTGTTGCCTTTTTGGGTGAAAGAACCCGGCTTTCAGCACCTCCAGGCAGTGGCAACATTCCTCTTTCCTACTCAAGCCTCCACAGGCTTTTCTCTTCCCTTTGATTGTGAGGTCCCCATCACTTTCCCTGCTGACAGTATCTCTTCAAATACCCCTTCTCTGTGTTTGGCAAGGTGTATTATGGGGAGGAGGGAAAGCTAAGGAATGGAACTCGACCACCACCAGCTGCCGAATGAAGCCCCTCAACCTTGTCTTGCATCTAAGGGGGAAGACTGATGTGAATGTGACATCTATATTTTTCCACACCTTTACTCTTTCATGTGTCCTTGACTCTGGCTACTGTGCTGCCTGCCTCCTGGGGAAGTTCAGAGGAGTGGAGGCAAATGCTCCAATACTCCTTCACCAGAGCAGAGAGTAATGGTCCCTCTGCTGCTGGATTATGGTAAATAGTGTAGAGTGCAAGTGAGCTGGTGTCTTGTCTGTCACCATCTACACAGTCTCACACAGTCACACCCAACAGTCTGACACTGAGCTCCTGCCACTCCTGTTCAGCCCAGCTCACCCTGACCCCTGCTGCCCCCACCTTGAGAGTGAGATTTCAAACAGGTTTCCCCCTTCAGTTTACCAAGTTGCCTAGCAACCAGCCAATTGATGGCATGAGGCCCCACCCCCACCCACTTGACTTCACACACAGCTCAGTGGCTGGATTGGCTCCCTTCTAGCCCCACCTCTCAACTCCTGGTTTCAGGAATAATATGCCAGTCCCCAATGCTGCTGGACAAGGAAGCCCACTAATCACCCTTTCCAGCCCCCACCTCTGTCACAACCTCCCAAACAGACACAAAGACTCCAGTATCATATAAAATCTTTTTATATAAGTTCACTCCCACTTCCCTCGGTCCCTCCTTGTCCCTTCTCATCCTGGTGATCATCAGGGATACTGGGATCTGGGCCACCCCCACACCACCAGAGCTGAAGCCGACATTCCAGGTGGACGTGTCGAAAGGAGAGCAGGGGGAGGTCTGGCTCCTGTTCCCCTTCATCCCCACTGTCAGTGGGCTCCGGAAACACACGCTGACCGGAGGCAGTGGCCAGCAGAGGCAGGCTAGGGTGCAGGCTGAGGGAGAGACACAGGATCTGTAAGCACCTCAGGGACTCACCTCCCTCCCCAACCCCGATCCCAAGATCCCTGGAAGTAAACTGAGGACCTCACTCCATTGGTGCAGTCCTTCTGGGGCAGAAAACTCAGCACAGGCTCTGGACTCCCATCCTTGCCAGTCTCACTGATGTCCCACACAGAGACAGCCCCGCTGGTGCTGCCACTTGCCAGGAACTGGCCGCTCCTGAGGGAGAGATTTGTTGGCATACAGGCATCACTCCTGGGGCAAGAACCCCTCACACTCAGAAGATGGGACCCTTAGCTGGTCTCTGCATCCCTGGGGATGGTCAGGGCCTTCCACAGGAAAGGACCATAGTCACTTACGGGTCCAGATCAAAGTAGATGCGCTGATTGGTGGTTACCTCCCGACTCAAGGACCAAAGCGGATGACCAGGCTGCCGGAGGTCCCAGCAGAGGAGCTCAGCATCCTAAAGACATAGACCAGGAACCTAGAGTGTCTGTCCCCCAATATCACACAATGTCCCTTCCTCCCTCATGCTTGGCATTCTCCAACTCCTGCCCTACATCCTCACTCCTGCCATACTGTCACCCACCTGCTTGGGCTCTCAGGTTATGACTCCTACCTTGCGGGCTCCTGAGAAGAAGCGGTTGCCATCAGGGTGAAAGCAGAGGTGGGTGATGCCCCCTTGATGCCCTCCAAGCAAGGCAAGATGAGAGCCATCATCCCAGGCATACAGGCCCAGGGAGCGGCCATAGGAGCCACAGGCATAGAGGGGCTGGGCTGGGCTGAAGGCTATGCAGGAGATGATGCCACTCTGACCTTGTTTTTTTGCTAAAGGGAAGGAGACACAAAGTGAGGGAGAGGGCAATGAAACATGGCATTTATCAGGCTAAGCAAAAGCCTATCTGTCCCCTGTCACAGCACCAATATACTAGGACTCAACATTTCCCTCAATCTGTTTGTCACAAGCAATATAAAAACTGATGTTCTCCAGATCCTTCTATTCCCCCACACCAAAGGACCTAAATGTCCAAGGCCCCCCTTCTTCCTTCTCAAACCCCATTTTTCCTAGAAGGGTCAGAGAGCTAAAGGCCTACAGGAAATGAATTTGGCTTCATCTCAAATTTTCTAGAGGGCTGGGGATGTAGCTCAGTGATAGAACACTGGCCTGGTACCCATGAGACCCTGTGTTCCATCACAAACAACACAAAAATAAAATTTAAAAATTTCTAGAGATTAGAAAACTTTTGGTGCACAGCTAACAGCATAGGCTCAGGAGTGAACTAGATGGATGACCTTGGCAAAGTTTCCTGAGTCTATTTTCTTCTCTGTAACTGTACTTTACCTCCCAGGACTAAAGTGAGGATAAAGCAAAACCCACAAGTGGCCTCCTGGCTCCCACAAGGCCCTGATGCTGGCAGCATACCTTTCCCTTTCTTCCTCCCTTGGGTGGGGGCCCAGGTGCTTACCAAATGTGGCTCGCACCTCACAGTCTCGGCCAGGTCGGGATGTGGAGAAGACTCGCACGGTCCGATTGAAGCCACAGAAGAGTTGGGAGCCATCCGGGGAGAAGCAGAGTGAGTGGGCTGCCGTCAGCTCATCCTGGGGGCAGGAAAAGGCTGAAAACAGGCCTTGCCAAAGCTCAGCTGTCCTCAAGGAAGGAAAGCTGGCCCCAGACAGGTGCTGGGGCTAGGCAGGAAGGTCTGTACCAGGTGGTTGTAGGCACGAAAGGAAGCCCGGAGCTCTCCAGTGAATGCATCCCAGATGTGAATTGGGTTCTCCCGACTGCTGCTGGCCACGCTGAGAGAGACATGGACACTGAGGCCCCAGCACTGTCAAAGGAAGGGGAGGAAACCAACTGACCAGCCCTCTCAGCTCCCATCTGAAAAGCACAATGAGCCTTCCTCCTCCCAATACTCATGGAAGCCACTGACTCTTAGTAGAGGGCCCCTTTGAAATTGGGATCTGGGGGGAGAGCAAAGAACATCACTTACTAGGAGGTGTCTGGTTGGGTTGAAGACATCAGCGAATACCAGCAGTAATCATATATGGTATCACCCTCCATCATTCGAAGGACAGGGGCCTAGACCGAGACGGGAAAATGCCAAGATTACTGGCAGGGGAGTCAGAGGCTCATGCCTCTACTGGGTTTATGGCAGAGAAGGAGACCATGTATTGGCATGAAGTAAGTAGGAGAAGACAGATAGAGTATACACAAAAAAAGGAATTTTTATCTCAACGTTCCAAGGTTGAACTCAGCCTCTTTGTCAGAATCAGATCACCAAAGCCATACGAATTCGTGCCTTTTAAACACTTACAAGGGGAGAAACAAATTGAATACTCCAATCCAGAGACAAAGAATCAACCAGTAATAGAAATATTTGGTAGGCACCTATGAGCTGCCATGCTATCCTTTAAAAAAATTATTAGTGCTGGAGATGTAGCTCAGTGGTATAGCACTTGCCTGTGTGCCACATGTATAAGGTCCTGGGTTTGATCCCCAGGACTACAGAAAAATAAAATTAAAATTAAACAGTTCAAACATGAAGTGTTTTTTGGTTTTGGTTTTTTTTTTTTTTTTTTTTTTTTTTAAATCCTGTGATTTCTCCACCCAGCTTTAGAGGGGAAAAAAATACATTAAAACTCCTTCCCTCAGAGGTAAACATATCCTGAATATATCATTCTCATGTATTTCTTTAGGCATATATTCATAAGGAAAAAACAGTACCTAGCATTACAGTGCATGATTTTAAGTTTAATATATTTATTTTGGGGGAGTACCAGGGATTGAACTCAGGAGCACTAAACCACTCAGCCACATCCTCAGCCCTATTTTGTATTTTATTTAGAGATAGAGTCTTATTGAATTGCTTAGCACCTTGCCACTACTGAGGCTGGCTTTGAACTAGCTCTTCTCCTGGCTCAGCTTCCCTAGCTCCTGAGATTACAGGTATGCACCATTGCACTACTCGCTTAAGCTTAATATTAATGGCATCACATGGTATGCA